TTGAGCTTGCCAGGGAAGTGCTTATTCCACTGAGCTATCTCCCCAGCACCCCCTGAGAAATAATTAATGGCACCTTTGAACAAATGAAAATACTGAGTCACTAAAAGAAGTACACTGATAACCCCAGCTACTTTGAAAGCTTAAGTAGGAGAATTCCATATATATATATATCAAACAACAACAACAAATAGGATGCGTTGGGGAGATAGCTGATAGCTCAGTGGTCTAAGTTCCTGCCTGGCAAGCACAAGCACCCAGGTTCGATTCCTGGTACCACATGCCATGCTGGCTATGCTGGCCACCGAAACAGGTCATGGTGGCACATGCCTGTAATCCCAGTGGCTGACACAGGAGGATTACCATAAGTCTGAGCTGCACAGCAAGACCCCATACCAAATAAATAAAAAAGATTTTTAAAAAGGGGGGGACGGGGAAATACCTCAGTAGATAAGCACTTGCCTTGCAAGCACAAGGGCCGGAGTTCTATCCCTGTTACTGCATGTTCATGCTGCACCGGTCGTGGAACCCTGGGTGCACCTTGCTGCCCCAAAACCAGGTGTGGTAGTGCATGCCTGTAATCCCAGTCCTGGAGAGGCTGAGACAGGATGATCACTATGTATTTGAACTGCATAGCAAGACCCTGTATCTATAATCCCAGTGCTTGGGAGGCTGAAAACAAGAGGATCACTACCAGTGATCTACATAGTGAGACCCTGTGCTAAATACATTAAAATAAGAAAGAAAGAACAGTGGAATAAGCGCTTCCCTGACAAGCGCAAGGACCTGAGTTCAATCCTCGGTTCCGCAAAAAAAAAGAAAGAAAGAAAGAAAGAAAGAAAGAAAGAAAGAAAGAAAGAAAGAAAAGAAAGAAGGAAGGAAATGAGAGGGCCAGTGAGATAGATCAGTGGACTAAAGTGCCTGCTTAGGCAATCTTATTCAAGTGCAGGGAGTACAGTTTGACCCCTGGCACCACATGCCATGCTGTAGTGGCCCACGACTGTAATCACAGCGCAAGAGGGCTGAAAATGGGAGGATCACCACGAGTCTGAGCTGCATAGTGAGACCCTGCAACAACCAAACACATTAAAGGAGGAGGAG